GAGGGTTCAGCCTCCTGATGAGTCGGTGAAACTCCGACGAAACAGTTTGTCACAACCCCTCGTTTGTTGTCCTCTTCTCTCTCTCTGCCTACGGTTTTACCGGGCAGTTCTGTTTGTGACGATATATATATATATATATATTAGTGTGTGTGTGTATGTTCTTTTTTTGCAGTATTGCTACCATGATATTAGGAGCATTAGCCGCAATGACTCAAAACAAAGTCAAAATAAAATTTCATGTCCGATTTTAAAGTAGAGGTAATAAATTGTTTTCTATTACCGATTACCCCCCTCGTAAAACTAGGGGGGGGGCAGGTCGGTGTGTGGGTGGGTCGGTGGGTGGGCTAGCGGACGGGTGCGCGCTCGCCTGTGTGTGTGTGTGTGTGTGTGTGTGTGTATGTGTATGTGCCTGTGGGCGGGTCCTCCAAATTTCTTTTCGTTTTCCCGCCCGCTTTGGTTTTGTCGTCGCCCACGCGAAACCGCCAAAAACACAGATGAAAATAAATAAAAAAAAAGACAAAAAAATAAAAGAGAAACGAAAAAATGAAAGAGAAGAACACGGAAAAAAAAAAGAAAACCGACCGAAAACAGAAAAAAAAAAAAGGACAGACCACAAATTTCTGCAGCACTTCTCCTCCTCCTGTTGGGATGGGGTTCGGGACGAGTGATTTTTCATAAATTTTTAGATGTTTATTTTAATTTTTATTATTAACAAGAACACAATTTAAACGAGAAGTTATTAAAAATTTCGGCAGCACTTCGTCTCCCCCCCGTGGGATGGGGTTCGGGACGACGTCCCTTGAATCACCACCGAAGGGGAAACGAAACAAAATAGATGGAGAACAAAAACTACCGAATTTTAATTAGTTGTTAGATATTTATTTTAATTTTTATTTATTTTATTAGCAAAAATTCAAATTAACTCCCTTATTTTCCGCGCATATACCCCACCCGGAAGAAGGTTCAAGAAACTCAAATCCCCTCGATTGTTGTCCCCCGTAGGATGAAAGGATTAAAGTAAATTCTTAATTTCTAATTTAGTCTTATTTATTTACTCTTATTTAGGGTTTCCCCCAATTAGGATTAAGGGTTTTTTGTGCAACCGCACGCGCACTATAAATCTTTGGATTACCGTAAAAAAAATTAGTTGGACTCCTCCTGCTTCAAAGTGAAAAGTTATTGGATTTCATTTTTTTATTTTTGCTTTTTTATTTTAATTAAAATTACAAAGAAAATTACAATTTCCCCTTATATTCCTTTTACGTTGTTTCTGATGGGGGTCGTCGTTTATACAAACGAAGTTCGTTTTTCCCGACCAGCGTCTAAAAATGTCGGAAAAAATAAACGTGACAACTTTGCCTGATGCGGGCGTCCCCAAATTCCGCTTCAATTTCCCTTGATTAAATCAAAAAGCAAAATGAATTTTTTAAATAATATAAAAAAAAATAAAGAAATTTGTTTATCTCGATTTCTAGCCGTTAGATTTTTGCAAAAAAGGTACCAAAATGGTTGCCTTGATGCAAGGACGAACTTTGATTCAGGGGCGGGTCGTGCAAAAATGATAGGATCGGAATATATATATATATATTTATTTTAACCGAATTACTTAAAATAAAAAAAAAATAGAATGTCTGTTGCATGAATTGCATTACTTACATGCCTGTGACCATCACTTTTGTGACAAACCAGCGTTCACTTTGTTTTGCAGATGACCATACACACAACCTAGTCCCACTATCGGATAACACCTCTCGAACCCGTTTGATGGGTTGAACGGATCATCCTGCTCGGAACTGAACGAAGATTAGCTTTCACATCACTGTGGATCTCGCAGATTTTTTTACCGCTTAAATTGCTTGGCGAGTCGAGCGGAGCATTCTATTCAGATAACTTTTATAGATCAAGCAATTCAACCCGTTAACATAACTTTTGTAGATCGAGCGGATCATCCCACTCAGCGACGAAAATTGCCAACGTTAATATCTTTTAGGGGAGCAGCAGCTCATCACGCTCAGACTGCTTGATGATTCAAGCAAATCCTCCCGCTTAGATATTTCAAATGGAAAGACGACCAGTCACAACTTACATAAACAAACAAAGGGGAGCTTTAGCGGCTGTGCGCGCCAGGTAAACAGTTTAGCTGCAATGTGCTAGCTGACCACACCCAACACTCCTTCCTACCTTAACTCTTTATGACCCTTTCCCTTGCATTCATTCCAATTCAAGACAACAACAATTGCGTTTCGCAAAAAAAAAAAAAAAAAAAAAAAAAAAAAACTCTGGCACCGCAGACGCCTAGGTGCTGTTCAATTCCGATTTGGCGTCCCTCGGCATTAACAACGGTTTTGACTCTTGCCTCATGCGGCAGAGTCGTCCGAGGCTCACTAGCCGCAACAGTAGCCAGTTCGGTTGATTAGCGAGGCGAACTCCCTTCCTTGTTCACCTCTATTGTCTTCCTACTCAGTCCTCCACATGTAGACTCACACACACGTTCACACACACACACTCTCTCTCTCTCGCTCGTTCGTACTCACACTCCCCCTTTTTGTTCATGGCGTACTCGGGTAAAGCTCACATCTCAACACCTGTGGGTAGAGTTCGAGGATTTGGTAATCAATAATTATATTAATTAACATATCGATTCATCATTTTACTCACTCGTGAGGAACAAATCCGAGAGATGTTGTTTTCCACTCGTCCCTTAGAAATACACAGATAACTTGAAGTTACTCGCCTATTTGTTGACTACTTCCTTCTAGTACGGATTTTCTGATGTTTTGGATGCCCAGTAAATTATTAAATAAATAATGGTTCTTCGCCGGAAGTTCACGGCCAATCGACAAGGATGTGAGTCGAAGGTCTCTCATCCAGGAAGTGACGTTAAACAAGCGCACCCCCCCCCCCCTTGCTCGAGAGTGTACAAACGCAGCCAACTTACTTCCTTACTGCCGCTTGTTCCTGACCTGGCTGTGATCAACTTGGATTTCAGTAAAGAATAGCATGAATTGATACTAGTTCGAATTCGTCTGTAGTAACACACACACAAGTTCCTGGCTCGCTGTCTACCCCAGCAGTAGAGGATCGCCCAGTCCACTGTTAAATCAAATCCAGGTTTGATATAATTATCAGTCGGTCAGATACAAAGCGAATGTGCGCCTATTTACTGGAGAGAAGACGCATTGTGGACAGGTAACCCGCTCGGTAAGAACCATTCCGTGGTGAGCTGGTCTCCCTGCTACAGTCGATCCGGTTGTTCACAGCATATACCTGGCCCCTTTCCCTCCTTCGCAGAGAGTTTGCCCCCGAACGTTGACTCACGTACGCATGCTGCGCATGCTGCGGCGTCAGTCATGCCATCTCCCTAGCTCTCGCCAACCTGCCCTTTTTAAGTGAGCGAGTTATGGATGCCCGACACGCTACTCAGTCCTCCCTAGTCTGTCTCATTTTTCAGAGGCATGCCTGCCATCTCCCCTTTCCGTCAGCAGCGGACACCTTGTCGCACTTCTCAAGCGGTCATTCCTCCCCGCCCTGATCGAAAGGCTTGCCGACTGAGTACGCCAGGCACGCCCTTTGTCTTTCCTCTCTTGGGCAGTCACCGCCTCAGGCTGAGCTGGTGCGCTAGACGCCTAGCACGCTCCCCCGGGAGCCTTCCCTCCCATTGCGCATACGAATCGACTAACTCTTTAGTCCAAGTGAACAAGCGTGGCGTACCCCGTGCGCGCTGAATGCCCAAGACTCTCCCCGTTGCGCCCCGGTGCTCTTCTCTATATTGGCTTCCCTCGTTGCGACATTAGGCCAGGGAAAAAAACTTTCTACCTATAGTCTCGGGGGCCGATAGATCACGAGCCTGTCGGGATGGATGAGTAGCTAGCCGAGGAGATGGGACAGATGCCATCATTACATTTTCCGGACTGGCTAACTTTTGAGCGACTAGGCCAGGCAGCGAAACCTCCCTTGCTTGAGGATCAGACCACTGGTGGACTCAGGGTACTATATGACGACATGACCATGCAGAGGACCTATATTGGTAGCGGTCTCGCTGCGGCTCGGCATACCACAGAGCAGGTTAGAGATTACACGAGGAGAATTGCCATCCGATCCTTTGAGCTGAGTTGCGACAGGCAAATGGAGCATGATGCACTGAGAGAGGTGGTGAGTGACCTCCGTATGGTTGCTGAGGGAAGGGAGGCCTAGACTCTAGAGGCGGTCCTCAGGATTCAGGAGAGAGAGGCGAGTGACATGAGGGCCCAAGTTCAGAGGGTACTCAGGGAGTATGAGCCACCTGCTGACACGACGGACAGAGATAGGCACAAGCGCAAGGTTGTCCTTGAGACTGTGCGATCATCTCAGTTGGAGAGCGAGGTGTCGACTCTTGTCAGGTTACGGCGAGAGACAAAGAAGCAGACACAGAGGCTCTTCTATGAGGATGTGGTCACAACCGGATGGCAGGAGGAGGTTAGGATGAGGAGATGGACAGGAGAGGAGCCCATGCTTGAGGGCGAGCGTACGCAGTCAGAGGAGGGGCTCCAGGCGAGGCTGCTATCTGAGGCGTCAGTGCGAGAGTTGGCAGGCGTGATGAAGCATGTCAGGAAAGTCACGCAGATCGAGGTTGCGAGAGGGGAGGTTCTCCATGATGCGGTACAAAGGATAGGTGTTTTGGAGCAAGAGAACAAAGGACTGAGGGACATGGTACATAACCTCGTCGCGAGCGAAGAGTAGGCGAGACAGTCCACCCTGAGACTCGAGCAGAGGATTTTTGCTCTAGAGGAGGGTCAGAGGCGTCAGGTCACAACGGATCTGGTCGACGAGAGGAGGAATGAGGAGCAACAAATTCCTGTTGGACAGGCACACGTCTCTTATGAGGTAGAGCCAGATGGAGTGAGATTCGATACCCCTCACCGAGACTCGGAGATGGAGGAGCCACTCGGGGCAATGGGGTTGACATGTGAGGAGGCTGCAATCGTTGACAAACTCATGCTTGAGCCAGACGAGATCGAGAGGAGGAGAGAGGCAGAGGCACGTGGTTGAGACCGGGTCCCTCGTTCAGAGTTGGCAGTACAAGAAGATGCATGGCGAGAGATGGGTGGTAGACACGACGAGCGAGAGAGGGTTACAGAGTCTTGAAATGTCATACCACAACAGGACAGGGGATCAGTTGCGGTACTACCCACGACTCTACCATTTACACCAACTCCAGCTTTGGGGCCGATGGACGATATCATGCACCTCCTTTCGTCAGGGTCTGAGAGATGTGACGAGGAGGCGATGACTAAAAGGGCCTCGAGGATGTTGAGCCCTGACACGGTAGATAGGGTCGTACAGGATGTGACGGTCCGACTCGAGAGGGCACGACCTCATGTCCTACCCAAGCCTAAGAAGGCGAAGGTAGAAGACAGCAACACCGATGACATATGCTCAGAGTGTGACAGAGGAGTGCACGACAGGCTTGCTTGCCCCGCTTTCCAGGATGACCTCAGGAGGCGAATCGTGCAATTCGACGGACAGGGGCGAGTCAGGGATATGTGTGGCGCTCTCCCTCCGAGAAAATGTCACGGTGCTAGGAGAGTTGTATATGATAGGCTAGACCTGGAGCTGAGAGAGGATGAATGATAGGTTATATGTCCATGAGGCGCACAAGGAGCCAGAATATGAGATCAGAGAGAGGATAGATAAGAACGAGGCGGCTATTATGAGAGATAGGCTGTTGGACTCGTTCCATATTGTTATCTTCTACTTTGAGGGTTCCAAGGCATGGACATGGCTTCGGGACCCGAGCCATATACTATACGTAGTTGATGATTAGTTTTGACTCATGTTTCACTAGATTGTACATACATGATGGGCTGCTAGTTTTAGTAGATTAGCTTGAGTAGGGGTTTCAGAGATTGCCCTAAGCATGAGAGTCCAGTTTCGTGTGAGTTTTGTGTGAGTTTTATGTGAATTTTGTGTGAGACTGGTGTGAGATTTGTGTGTGTTTGGTGTGAGTGTGCGTATGATATGAGTATGACTTTTCAGGGTAGGACCGTAGGACATTGAGTTGGTAAGTGTCGTTGCGAGTTAAATTGTTTCGTTCAGGGCTACTGCTTCAATTTTTCGGATAATGATACCCAATTGAGACATTCGATTTCTTTATGATTGATTCTGAGATTCGGGAGCGTATTGCGTAGATGTATCCTACGAGACATGATGTTGTGCATGAATTTCCTTGTTTTTATTTGAGTATGCCCTAAAATTGAGGTTGATTCAGAGTGTGAGTCTTGTGTGGAAATAGGGAGTCATGGAATATTCTCAGAGTGTGGAGTTGTACACACTTCCCTTGCATCTGTGATGTTTGTATCTGTTATGATTGTGAGTAATATGTTTGATTGTTGAACAAATGGTTACTGACCTTGATTGCATATGAATCAGTATGTAAGAGTCGGTAAAAATGTTCAGCAAAAATGCATAAAAAAAGGTTGAATTGGAAAGGCAGCCTAAATGTTTGATGGGAAGGGGACCCGCTTGAGGAGCCACCCGTATGTCTCAGGGGAGGGGGTCTGTTTGAGGGGCCACTTGTTTATGTATGTGAGATGAATGCAAAACTTTATGATTATAACTTATTCTGTGAATATATATAAAACTTTGATATTTGCAAAAAATTGTCAGTGGATAACCAAGCTTGATTAAAGATGTCCATATAATGAGGGGTTTCTTCGAACGATAAACTTGTTTGTGAGGCTATGGGGCCGACAGTCGCGCCTGCCATGATCAAGCAGAACGACTGCAAGCATTGAAAGATAGTTCAAAAGTATTTTGGGAGGCCTAAGCTGAGGGCTAAATCGGCATCGTTGGGGCAACCTCCAACGTGGGCTATTGTCCTGCCTAACCAGGGCAGCGGACCCCTAGCTTAGCCTGACTTTAGAGACAGAGGGGGGACATGCACCATCATCAATAGCATCTAATATATATAAGCGGGTTATTATGGTTACTATTATTAAATACTACTTAGTATTATTAATATTATTTTTATTATTATCGTTGTTATTATTATTACTATCATCATATGGGAGGGCTAAATATTTAAGCCAAGTATCAGGTCACTCCAAAGACTCTAACTAGGGTGACTTCTAGGGAATACTTAGGTCCAAAAGTCAAAGAGTCGCCTTAGCATTGCGCAAATAATGTAGGCAACATCGTGGCTAAATGACACGATGAGCTCTGGTTTGGTCCAATCAACTAAATTATGGTGGACCGAGAGAGGGACTATAACCCATCTATGACTAAACGCAAGGTCGGGCTAAGTTTTGATTTTAAATTACATGGAGTGAGCTACGTGCAGCACTATGTCTATGACAAGTTTAAGCTGCTCAAGGGGGTGTGCTTATATATAATACGCAACTCAAAGGAGTATGCTACTTATTTTGATTGCAGAGTGAGTTGTCTAGAGGAGTATGCTTTGATTTTGCTTAAGCTACTCGAGAGGGATGGGCTACTTGCGCTTGTTGTGTGTTGCAGTTTGTCCCACTCGGGCAGTCGTCCTGCCTGAAAACCCTTGTCTGAAGATGACGGTTGTTTGACCGCCCGATTCAAACGGCACCCAACGAAAGTCCAAAGGCGTCTCGGACCTACGAAAAGGGTTGGTATTTGAACATTGAAGCTAACCTAGGGTGGTAGTATAACGAAAGTATCCATGTGAGTCAGACACGAGGTGCGGGTTGGACTTCTGCTCGCCATAGGAACATCGCAAAGCTAGAATACCAAACCCCAAGTTGAGTCCTTCCAATTATATGGATTTGGTTTTCCATATGTTCAGTCTATGCATTTGCTTGTGTTTTTCATTAATACCTTCTGGCCTTTACCCAAAACGACGGGGACGTCGGTTAGTGAGGTCTGGGACGATTGTCGTAGCAAACACCCTTACAAGGGTATTTGTCGTAATTTTTAAAGAATCACGTTGGATGCATCCTTTATCAACATGATGCGTTGATGGGGCAAATCCTGTTAGGGCACTCACCTTGGCAACCTCGCTTTTGGGGAGAATCCAAGTTAAATAGGACCGAACTAGAGATTGTGTGGGGCACACATTAATGCGTCGCACTGTGCGGTAGCCGTTAGTTATCGGCAGTACCTGGCCGGCAGAAGGCGTCAAGGCCTTAGTGTCCGGTTACATTTTCTGTAGCTTTCATTTTGGTTATATTTTCCTTTTATTTTATAGAAGTGAGCTTTACTCCGCAAACCAGCCACGTCTTTGGCGGGACACGTCGCAAAGAGGGTAAACACCTTACCGTACACATACGCAGGAAGATTGTGTCCGGCAACACAATAAAAGGTGCGGCCTTATTAGGCTTAGCATGAGGGAAGTCGAGAGCTTCGTAGACACAAATGATGTGCGAGACGGCTAGGGTACCAGGCAACCATAAACCTAGGCACGACATTATCTTCTGACAGCCAGGGTTCTGGCCAGTAGGCCAAGAAGAAGACCTAGTTTGCACGGATAGGACCAATCACTGTCCCGCGACTAATCATATGCAAGTTCGCACCAACTTAGCTCACCCTGGGGCCTTGTTCTGTTGGTTTCGGTACTGGACTTTCAAGGGACAGGTTTGGGGTTTGAGGTCACCACGCAGCGGTAGAGCAGAGGAGCGCGACTAGAGGAGATTGAGGGGTCGAGGGTCTTGTGAAACTATCCCCCTTGGTTTTGCCAGGCGGGCCAGGACCGGGGTCCAACTGGTTAGACCAAGAGGGTGCCGGTGAGTCCCCGCCTCCCTCGGCTCTCTATTTTTAGTTGATTTAATTTTAGTTGTTATTTCTTTTCATTTTTTTCAGATTTTAAAAGTCCCGTCTGTTGACCAGACCAGAAGTTGGCTCCAGGACCGGCGGCGAAGAACTACCGCGAGGAAGGGTGAAAAATACTTCAAAAATAAATTAACGAGTGCTTGAAATTGCTGACCGAGGAGCGAATGGAGGCAACCCGCATCTGAACGGGGGTGGACGACAACTTTGTCGCCACCTTTGTTAACCTTGAATGAAGGGATGAGTGTAAATATATTGCGGTAACCAGCATTATAGAGGGGAGTTATTAGAACCCCCATGGGTGACCATCACGACAGTCGAGGACCTTCAACACGTACCTCTTTTTGTAGGCCTGTTCGGGTTGCGGCGTGTTCTGGACGGTGGATGCTGGCAAAAGTCCTCTATCCCTGCCGTCATGAAGCACGGTCCGAGGAAATTCAACGTGCATGCAAGCAGTGGGTGCTTAGCCCACGAAGCAGTAGGAACCTGAGTGGCGGTGTCGGCGCGAATACCCTTACAAGGGTATCCGCCCTGGTTTTTGCAAGTGACAAAAAATAAGGTTTGTTTAGAATCTGAGTATACCGTGGGAAGTTGCGGTTGTGTCTAGTTCACGTTGACTGAATGGTTGACGGGAAGTAGAGAGTATGTGCGCGCCCAGTTTTAGGCGCGCGTGATGAATTTTCCTCTTGAGGCTATAGAGTCGGCACCTCCGCCGACAACATTCTTTTGGCTTTGATTAAGGGTAGGAAAAGTTTTCTTAGTTGAGTTGACCATAGTGCACCGGCGTTCATAACGGCATGCGCCAGTGAGAGTGGATCGCTAGGTGGCAGCACACTTGTGCTGCATGTGCGACGGCAGCAAGGGGGAGATTTACCCCTTCGTACAACAAAGGGCCGGTGCGTGGGAACCATAGAYGCAAGTGGTGGCCTCCGCGCGGCACTATGGGGGGTTACAAGCCTGACGTACCAAGCAAAGTTCGGTCCCCGACGGCATGTACCCATGTACGGGGCCTTGGGATTGGAGGGGAAGTCAAGCGGCAGCCCTAACACTGCTACTGCAGGCCTAGGCTGGCC